TTCAACAATGGTGGCTTCTAGAATGGGTTGGTGGCTTCAACAATGGTGGGCTTCTAGAATTGGTAGTTGGCAGCAGCTGAACTTATCAATTCTCCCCCTTCAGCTGCATTCCAACGCAGCTACTATTTGAAAGTTATTCCAACTATGTCTCTGCACAGCTCTAACTTTTCTTGAGTGACCACCTTTGTTAACATGTCTGCTGGATTCTCCTTCGTATGGATCTTCACTAGTTTCAACAGTTGTTGATTCATCACCTCGCGTATCCAGTGATAGCGAATGTCGATGTGCTTTGTCCGAGAATGATACATTGAGTTTTTGCTTAAATCAATTGCACTTTGACTATCACAATGTATCTTATACTCTGTTTGATTTATCCCTAGTTCTTGGAGAAACCGCTTTAGCCACAACATTTCTTTTCCAGCTTCCGCTACAGCAATATACTCTGCTTCAGTTGTGGATAGTGCAACACACTTCTGCAATCTTAACTACCATGACACAGCTCCCCCTGCAAAACTATAAACATATCCTGAGGTTGATTTTCTTCCATCAGGATCTCCGGCCATATCTGAATCTGTATAGCCTTCCAAGACTGGATCAGCTCCCCCAAAGCACAGACTTGATTTTGAAGTACCTTTAAGATACCTGAAAATCCACTTAACTGCCTCCCAATGTTTCTTTCCAGGGTTAGAAAGAAAACGACTTACCACACCTACCGCATGTGCGATATCTGGCCTCGTGCAAACCATGGCATACATAAGACTTCCAATTGCTGAAGAATATGGAATTGTAGACATCTCCTCAATATCTTTCTTGGATGAAGGGCACAAACTCTTGCTCAACTTGAAGTGATTTGCCAAAGGGACACCTACCGGTTTGGCATTACTCATATTGAACCGTTTGATCACCCGTTCATTGTAATTTTCTTGAGATAGCCATAAATTCTTGTTTCTCCTATCTCGAGTTATCTGCAATCCCAAAATATGTTGAGCTGGACCTAAGTCTTTCATTTCAAAGGACTTAGAGAGTTCTTTCTTCAACTGTCTATTTTTTGTTGCATCTTGTCCAATGATCAACATGTCGTCTACATAAAGTAGAAGTACAACAAAGAAAATCTCTGAATGTAAACATACTAATCTGCAGCAGTCCTTTTATATCCTTGACTTACCATAAATGAGTCAAACTTTTTGTACCACTGCCTCGGTGCTTGCTTTAGGCCATATAAACTTTTCGTAAGCTTATAGACGAGGTTTTCTTTTCCTGAAACCTCAAAACCTTCCGGCTGCTCCATATAGATTTCTTCATTTAGATCACCATGAAGAAATGCTGTCTTGACATCCATTTGTTCAAGCTCCAAATTCAAACTGGCTACCAATCCAAGGATGATGCGGATTGAAGTCAATTTTACAACTGGTGAAAATATTTCATCAAAGTCAAATCCCTTTTTCTATAGGAATCCTTTGACTATTAACCGGGATTTGTGCTTCACCACCTTTCCTCTGCCATCTTTCTTGAGCTTGAATACCCATTTACTCTTCAGTACCTTCTTTCCTTGTGGAAGTTTCACAATCTCATAAGTGTTGTTTTTCTGTAAAGAGTTCATCTTTTCGGTCATTGCTTGCGGCCATTTTTCTTTATCCTTATGAGATATAGCTTCATGGAAACTCTCTGGTTCTCCATCTTCATAAAGTAGAATATACTCGGTCTCTAGGTATCGAGTTGATGGAATCTGACCTCGTTCAGATCGACGAGGTTGTTGATTATTAGCTTCAGGANTCCCCATCTTCACTACTCCAAAGTCTCCTACTTTGTATGTTGTGAAGAAATCTTTTCAGGATGTGGCGTGGTATGATGCTGCAGTATCTATCACCCATTCGTTTTCTTCTTGACTTGAGACGTGAAGGCATGTCTCTTCTTGGATGGAACAAATGGCTACCTCTCCGTGGGTAGTGACTAATGTATCTCCATCCTTTTGCTTCAACTGCTCCTTCTCCTTATGCAATTTTCTGCAGTTCTTCTTTAAATGGCCTTTTATTCCACAGTGGTAGCACACATATGATGACTTCCTACCATCTGTGGATTTTCCCCTACTCTTGCTTCTGCCTCTCCTCTTATCTTGACTTCTTTCTTGTTGTCTCCCTCTTTCTGTAATAAGGGCATGCGACTCACCATGATCGATGTCCTTTCTTCTGGCTTCTTCATTAAATAAGGCATCTTTAACCATAGACATGGTCAGATTTCCACTAGGAGCTGAATTACTGAGAGAGACTACCAGCGTCTCCCAACTATCAGGAAGAGAACTAAGAAGTAGTAGGGCTTGCATCTCATCCCCGAGCGGCATGTCAACAGACGATAATTGATTTATCAAGCTCTGAAACTCACTGGTATGCTCGGCAACTGAAGTTCCGTGCTTTAACTTCAAATTTACCAAACGCCTCATCAACAAGGCTTTGTTCCTAGCGGTCTTGGCTTGATACATCCCTTCTAACTTCACCCAGAGGGCATACGCATCTGTCTCTTGTGCAACATGATGAAAAACGCTATCGTCAATCCATTGTCGAATTTGACCGATAGTTTTTCTGTTTAATTTCTTCCACTCTGCTTCTTTGGTGGAATCGGGGTTCCTACCCTTTGCTTCTATGGGATCAAACAAATCTTTACAACTGAGGAGATCTTCCATCCGAGGTCTCCACAATGTGTAATTTGTGGCAGTAAGCTTTATCATAGCTCCAGATGATGATGACTCTTCCATTATGTCTTTAAAATGGCTTGGTCAAAATTTTGGAGCAGAATCTCACCAACGCGTCCGGAATGGTGAAAAATGGTAGGATTGACTCTTCTTGGGTCAAAATAGGGCCTCCAGAAAATTTTCAAAATTTACACCAAACTTTTGGGGTTAAATCGAAAATATACTGAACTTGTGAGGCAGATTTATAATTTCAGTAACTTCAGGGGTTATTTCAAAAATTTCTAAAAATTATGATGACTGGGCGCTGACTAGATGCTGACTGGGTGATGACGTGGCGCTGACTGGGCAGCTACTATTCATCATCTTCTTCCTTGGGCAGAAGAAAAAAAATTGCCATAACTTCTTCGTTTTAGCTTTGTTTGGCCTCCGAAAAATTGCATTGAATTCGTATCGACGCAAGGAATCGAATGAAATGATCAAAACACACCGAAGATCACGTTTTCGAAAAACGTAAATCCGGGTTGAAATTTTCAATGTTCCGATATTTCTCGATGAACACAAAATCGAGGGCTCTGATACCACTTGTTGTGATTCTCGGATCAATATGAAGATTATTTGGGAGGAAAAACAACTCTATTTCACAAGAATAGAATTACAGAGAATTTACACCAAGAATTTCTCTCTACAAAAAAACCTCACCAAACTCTCTTTTTGTTCTCACAATCTCTTCCTGGATTGTATTTCAATCTCTCTGGATTGATTTTTCTGTGTAAAACATAAGGCTCTATTTATAGCCTTAAAGAAGGTGGTTGGTGGTTGAATTTTTCATTCAACAATGGAGGCTTCAACAATGGTGGCTTCTAAAATGGGTTGGTGGCTTCAACAATGGTGAGCTTCTAAAATTGGTAGTTGGCAGCAGCTGAACTTATCACTTTAAAGGTTTCAGACTCATTTGCAATTGATGCTCAAGATGTCCAAACCCAGAATCTTTCGTGATTTACATTAATTTCCCATGGACCACATAAAGGTTACTTAGAATTGAGTTAGGTCGGAAAAAAACTAGACTTAAGTAACAAATATGTTAATATATGAATTTTTTTTTTCATTTTAAAACTTTATATAATTTTGTTTATACCTTCATCATATTAGGTCACCAAAAAATATTTATATATAACCTCCCTAAAAAGTGGAATTTGTAAATCTGGAGTACAAGACAAGTGACCTAATAATATAAAAAACCTTTACACGTATATAAATTAAACCCGTTTCTTCATGGATTTTAATTTACAATTAGGGGTCCGTAAAAACTTCTTTTGGAGCCAATATATATATAGTTGTTTTAACAATCGTCATAAATTACATTGAATATTTTAGAATCCAAATCGAATAAGACAACGTGTACGTACTAGATAAATAAACAAAAGTAAAAGAAGATAAAAACATATCCAAGTGTTTTTCTTATAAGCAATTAGTATTCTATTCATATATTCCAATTCTGTTGTGATGTTTTAACGAACTAATTAAGTAAACGATTTATTCGTTTTTAGTTACTAGGGACGCGGGAAAACTAGTAAAAAGAAGGATATATAATCGCAAAAGGTTTGCTCAGAGGATAAGTAGCGAGTTAGTTACGTACGAATCCAGATCTCTAATCAAAGTCTAATTAATCCGTCATGTTGCTTTCTATTTAAACAGGAGCTAGAGATTTCCCCTTGCTCCAGCATATAGTTTACATAAGTAGATATATCCTCTCTCGATCGCCTCTAATTTTCCGTTTTCTTTCTTTCTTTGCTTGCATATTTCTGTAGAATTACACGTAAAGTGATGGCAAAGTCAGCAGAGATTGTTTGTTTCGGGGAGATGTTGATTGATTTCGTTCCTGATTCTGCCGGAGTCTCCTTAGCAGAGTCTACGGGCTTTCTCAAAGCCCCCGGTGGTGCACCTGCTAATGTTGCTTGCGCCATTACCAAACTTGACGGCACCTCCGCCTTCATTGGAAAGGTACGTACGTAGTAGTACAATGATATTACTTTACATGACAGTATTATTATTTGAAGAGTCTAATCTTTTTCTTTAACCAAGATTTTATTTTAGTGTTTAGTTTTGTGATTTACAATACCTTTTCTATATAATCTATGAATATATAAATTTATTTGATAAAACTTGAAGATTCTATGTCCATCTCCTCCTGTTTGGTCAAGCCATCTACCTTGTTTTTGTTAAATGGATTTTGGGTCTAACTCAACCCCAAAAGTTAGCTCAAGACTTGGTGATTGCCCAAGTCCATATAAGTAGATCACTCATCCCCTTCATTGTCGATGTGGGACTCAACAGTTTTTTATTACTATTCCCTCTGTTCCAATTTATGTGAACCCGTTTGACTGGGTACAAAGTTTAAAAAGAATGACCACTTTTGAAATTTGTGGTCCTAAACAAGTTAAAATGGAGCCCAGAGTATTTGTGTGGTTATAAAAGCTTCTCATTAAGGGTAGAATTGGAAGTTTAAACTAAATTGTTTCTAAATTTAGAAAGAAGTCATTCTTTTTTCAACAGACCAAAAAGGAAATAGCGTCACGTAAACTGCTGGAACGGAGGGAGTATTAGTTTTTGAAGAAAAGTTAAGTTTTGAGAGGCTTATAGCCTGAGTTTAATTTTTCAATGCATTGGATCCCCTTTGTGAGAGTTCCTAGTGAAAAGGTATTAATCCTTAACTTACACCAAAAATTACGATGTTTGACCCTTGTATTCTATTATGTACCAGGAGTATGTAATTAACAGCTTGTTTTAGTAGTACTTCTTTTCATATATCGATCTCGACAATATATAAGTTTCTCAAATATGATTAACTGAGCAGGTGGGAGACGACGAGTTTGGGCGTATGTTGGTGGATATACTGAAGAGTAATGGGGTGAACAGCGAAGGAGTGTGCTTCGATACTCAGGCGAGGACAGCACTAGCGTTTGTGACACTGAAGAGCAACGGGGAGAGGGAATTCATGTTCTACAGGAACCCGAGCGCGGACATGCTGCTCAAGGAGTCAGAGCTGAACTTGGGTCTGATAAAGCAGGCTAAGATCTTTCACTATGGATCCATAAGTTTGATCACGGAGCCTTGCAGGTCAGCTCACATGGCTGCCATGAAAGCTGCGAAAGAAGCAGGCGTCCTCCTTTCGTATGACCCAAATGTTCGCCTTCCTCTCTGGCCTTCCCCTGAAGCTGCAAGAGATAATATCAGAAGCATTTGGAATGAAGCTGATTTTATCAAGGTTAGTGATGATGAGGTAAATTTCCTGACACAAAAAGACGCAGAAAAGGAGGAGACAGTGTTGTCCCTATGGCATGACCGCTTGAAGCTTCTTGTTGTTACTGATGGAGAGAAGGGCTGCAGATACTTCACCAAGGTAATTTCTTAACATTTTCTTTCTTGTTCTTGAAGTTTTGTTTACACAATCACTATATAATCATGCACAGAGTTTCAAAGGAAAAGTGAGTGGGTTCTCTGTCAAGACAATAGATACCACAGGAGCCGGAGATGCTTTTGTAGGTTCCCTTCTGGTTTCCATCGCCAAAGATCCTTCTATTTTCCAGGTATCATCACTTTGATATTGACAAGAATCTCTTACATTTGGTTTTAAATTTTTATTATGGGCTTTATTTACTCAAAGTTCTGTTTTTAAAGTATTGCGCTATGTTGAGGAGCAGAGAGTTTTCATATTTTCATAAGTATTTAACATGTACTTCTACTTGTTTGGCATACAGTTTTTGTAATTACATTCATTCTTGGAAAGGAAACAAGCTATATATGTGTCTAGGTGAACCAACTAGTTACGATTAAGTTTAGTTGTTATTGATACACTTGCATTAGATCCGGTGTCTGGATTAGTTAGATAGTATATGATACTATAGGAATAAGGGTGAGATGTAGAAAATCCTTGGTTTGGAATAATGGAGCAGAATCTATATTTGAAGATTATATAGCTAACTTGAACTTATTCGAAAGAGGCATAATCGTTATTGTTATTGTTGTTGTTATAATTATTCAGGACTGAATAAGATAATATGAATGGTATTTGAATCCTCCACTAATACTTCTCTCCTTCCTTAATTACTGAACACTAACAATGATCGACATTAATCCCTCATCCAGTTCCTTCTTTTTAATTAGCCTAATTCAAAACTTGTAAACAGTATCAGTGAGATGTTTTGCAATATGGATGTTTTGAAGCAATGTTACACTACTTTCTTCATTTCTTTAAATTGTTCTGCTTTTTTTGGATGACTATTGATTGAACCGCTAACTGTGCTTGCGTAGGATGAAGAGAAATTGAAGAAAGCCTTGAGATTTGCAAATGCATGTGGTGCAATCAGTACAACCCAAAAGGGAGCCATTCCAGCATTGCCATCAACATCTGATGCCCAAGGACTCATTGCTGGCTCCAAGGCTTACTAATGATTCTTAATTACCACCTATCCTAGTTATCATCGTGTTTTTTTTTTACTGCCACTATCATTTGATGACTACAATTCTCCAAATTCGTACTCCTTAATAAGTTTAATTTGCTGGACAATATATTTAGCTTAATTAGTACTGTTTGTATTACTCCGTAGTTTATGAACAATTCCCTTCCGTCTTATTCTTCCAAATTGATGAGTTCTAATAATCTGCACTAACACTTTTAATTTAATCCAATTATTCTGCATGTTATATAGATCAATATATCCAAACCCTACTTATAAGGTCAAAACTCGTCAATTTAATGTTCTAAGTGGAGCATAGTAGTACAATTGAGACCAATGCACTGTGATAATATAAAATACTGATTACTCATCGTGTATCTCCTTAGCAAGGTTAGTTGTGATAGGACTTATCGCTATCACTTCGAGAGTAATTTGATTGTGTATATCCACTTTTGAAGTTATACTCTTATTGCACAAAATTTTACAAATTATAACTCGGATTTGAAGTAGTTCAATAAATCTTCCCATGTAAGTTTAAAAATCAAATATATATGAAGTTTTTTTATCTTTCAAATGAAACTTCAAAAATTCACAACTTCAAAAATTTGAAATTTAAGCAGTTCTATCTCTTCCATGTAACTTCAGTAGTTCAAATCTGAAGTTAAGCTTGTCAAAGCCTAAACTTCAGACATAAAAATAAATTCTAAAGTTATCGTTATAATACTCGAAACAATAGCCAGCCTAAACTCATAACTTTTAAACCCCATAAATCATGTCTGCTTCATACAAAGACCAAACAAGTTGCCTGTTGGGTGATATAACAATGAATTTGTAAGAAAATAGACATACTTGGGAACGATCTGGAAAACATAACGGGCAACAACGTTCTTTTGGATGGCGTTTTTGACACCAACGCACTCAAAGATTTGTAATTAAGGAGGTTCTTCTTCTACGAATCTATATATATATATATATATATATTTGAGAGCCATTTACCCGGTGGCGTGGCAGGCTCATTTAGCAAGAATTGCATTTCTCTTTTTCCACAATTTTTTCTCTTTCCCCTCTAATTTCATTTCTTAATAGACACAACGCTTTGCCCTCATTTTGTAAATCAAACATTAACTGTCATTAACCTAATATTAAATAGACACAACTATTTGCCCTCCCTCCGCAACGGTTACAATACGTTTTGTTGTTCTGGCAGACTGGCCCCTCCCTTAATACCCCTTTCCCTTCTTTTTGGTTGTCTTTTTCCTGTAATTTCCCCCTACGTACCTCAACTCTCTCTTTCCTCTCTTATGCAAATACACTCTTTATCATTGATTCTCTTCCTCCTCAAATCTGCTTTCTTATTTGGGTATCAATTTATATATTCTACGAGAAGCAAATGGCTTTTTTGGTATTACCGAGTTTCTTCTCAAATGGTTCTGTTAGTTTATAAATGCATAGATAGTGTTTTAAATTACAAAGACCACTATCAAAGGACAGATTTTTTGAAGTATTGGTCTATTTTTGGAAGGCTTAACAACTTGCAAAACCATTTGAGAGCCATTAATACTTTGTCATCGCTCAGGCTTCGGTGGGAGTCTCAATAACATAAAAAAATGAACTCAGCAGCAGCCACATAGAAACAAAAAGACATGCTTATTTGATCAGGTCTTCCTAACACATTCTTTATTGTTTTTAGATTAATTCAGTTAGCAGTTCTCTGTCTTAACGTTAGATCATTTTTTGTTCTCTTACACTTGTTTATTTATTAGGTATAGAATTAAATCACTATGTATATAAGTAAATCACCATTGAGCCCTGCTATAACAAATTTAGATGATGTCAGTTATTTATGTAGAATGGATGAGGGTAAAAAATACTGGACAAGCAAGAGAAATTATAAGGCATCCAAGTTGTAACAGACTTTTTCCATTCTGCGTACTTTTCGTTTGTTTTCTTTTGATTGCTAAACAAGACTGTATTTTGTCTTATGATTTTGAGAGTTGGTATATTTGGGCCACAATATATATTTTTTATTTTATTTTGTTCCTTATAAATATAAATACTTTAAAGAAAAGAATATGTTAATATCTAATATAAGTGTGTCTATGTCCATGACTGCAATAAGGTTTTCGAGTTCTTTTCCTTTCAAATTTTTTGGCATTTTGATTATTTCAAATTTTTGAACAAAGACAGTAGTCATTGCAAGAAAAGAAAGCAGAAGGCACTTAGCGCATGCTAAATTCTTTTAAATGTACTTTGATTGTCCATTATCATATTTAAGCAATTTTAAGTTGACTACTATAGTTTTGTTTGTTTTTGTTAAAATGAAGTTTCGTTTATAATTGATGCTTGCAAGATGAAATGTCTTTAAAGACCGCGCCAAGCATAGATCAGAAAGATGTTGAGAGATCGTACAATTTGACGGACCATCTAAAGTACTAAGATCTCTGTTACGCTATATTTGACAATGTGTATTTATCATTGTATGATAGTGCTTTAGTTAATTCTCAAAATTAAAATTTCAATTGCCGTTTCAACTAAGTTGATGTTTCTGTTTCAAGTGAATGTTCACTTGGTTTAACAATAGATACTTTTTACCAAGTCTATCAGATAGAAGATGATAGAGAGCTATTTTTTTTAATCATTCTATTGAAATTGTTATGTTTTATTAACAAAATAGTATATTTCGTAAATTTAAAATATCTTGTATGTTCGCGCGAACCGGCACGAAGCGCGAGTAACTAAACTAGTAAGGAAATAAAAAAGGAGAAGGAAAAGCAATAGCAGCAACATCGATCTGAAGTTTCTCCTAATTCGGTTACAAGTTAAAAGTTTTTTAAAGATTTAATACCTTAAAACATCTTTTAACTATTTCCCCCTTCATACTAAAACTCTCTCGTTGCTTGCATGGCATAATATGTGTAATAACTTGCCAAAGAGCGCGTGAAGTCTAAAAAGGCCATCAAAATGACCCACCTAATAGTGTGTAATGACTAATTAGCCTTACACTTTTTTTAAAAAACTAATTAGCCTTACACTTTTTATAAAATTTACTTTTTGTATTTTTCTCCTCATTTGTTTTTTTACACCTTTTTCTTTATTTTTTCACATTTCTTACTCATTTTTTCACCTTTCCTTTTCAAACTCAATAGGGATTTCCTTTGAAAAAATTTCACCTCTCTTGTTCCATTAAATTTTATTCTTTTTCTTGCTTTAGTCTTCTCTTACCCATATTATTGAAAAAATATCCATTTAAATTTTCTTATTAAACCCAACACTTTATAGAGAATAAAGTTGAATCTCTTGAACCTTGTTTGTGTCATCTAGAATAAGGATTTATTCAATTGGAATCTAGCATACAACACAACCACAATTAAAACTAAAAATAACACATTTATTTTAGATCCTACTTTGGCCAAAAATGCCCAGAATTAGTCGGTCATCCGACCATAATATTGTATGGGGTAAAATGAGAAAGCGACGCATGGAAAGGAAGACAGAAAATAGCCAAACCCGAAGGTAATGATTTCGTTTGTCATCGAAAAAAATAGTACTCATAAAGACAAAATAAATGCCGCCTTCCGGTGGCATTCAATGAAGAATATTCTACATCATTAAGTGCATGATCCGTTACAGGGAATATGTCATTCACTACCTACCATTACACATTCTTTAATGGCACTCATAATTATCATTAAAAAGGAGCTTGATCCTGGAACCTTGTTCCCTAGGTGTAACTATAAATTGTGAGCTTTATCATCTTTCTATTGACACGAATTTTCTGACAAGCATACACTATATTCTATCAAAAGCTCAATAACATTTTACTTTCTTACTTATTTATATTGTTCTTACTGCCCCTGGTAGACCTGCGCCCGTGATCAAGATATCTACCGCTTCATTTCAATTTCAAGGCTAAGTCTTACATTTTTGTCTAATTCATCTATTATTTTAGGATCAAACTAATTCACTTATCTATAAACCACGTATAAATTCAATTGTACCATTTTACGTGTAAACAATTTGGCGCCCACCGTGGGGCATAGACAATTGTGTAATTGAATTGTTCCCTGCATCTATTACTAACTATTTTGATTCTTTGCCCTTAGCAAAAATTATTAAAAAACAGATATGTGACGACCCGGCCCGTCGTCGTGTGAACTACTGCCCCGTTTCCCCCATTTTTATGCTTCTTCATGTTTCGTTATCGGTATTCGATGTGTTAGAGTTAAATCGGATTGGTTTTGATAGGAAATGAGACATTTAATCTCTTTAAGGAAGGCTTGTTTTGGAAAAGTCAATCGGATGTTGACTATGAAGTTAGAGGGCTTGGATGTAATTTTCGGTGATTCGGTTAGCTTCGGGGGTTGATATATGGCTTAGGAGTGTGATCGGAATTGATTTTGGAGGTCCGGAGTAGAATTAGGCTTGAATTGGCGAAGTTAGTATTTTGGCAAATTCCGGTTGGTAGGCGAGATTTTGATACAGGGGTCAGAATGGAATTCCGAGAGTTGTAGTAGCTTTGCTAGGTGATTTTGGATGTGTGTGCAAAATTTCAGATCATTCGGAGGTGTTTTGGTCGGGTTTTTGATCAAATGCGTATTTTGGAAGTTTTTAACAAAATTTAGGCTTAAATCGTATGTAATTTGATGGTTTTGGTGTTGTTTGTGGTGTTTTGATGATTGGAACAAGTTTGAATGATGTTTTAGGATGGGTTGGAACTTTTGGTTGAGGTCTCGGGGGCCTCGGGGTGATTTCGGATGGCTAACGGAAATTTTTGAAGTTGGAAAATGCTGCAGAAATGCAGCAGTCAGTGCAGAGCAATTTTGCTCTATGTGATCGCATAGCACAAAGGGCTGCGATCGCATAGAAGGATTTTAGGGGTTGTTTGGTTGCTCAATGCGATCGCATGAAGGGGTTGCGATCGCATAGTGTTGTTTGGTATTGCACTGCGATCGCATAGTCCTGTTGCGATCGCATAGGGTAATTTGAGACCATGGAATTTTTGGTCTATACGATCGCAGGGGCTTGAATGCGATCGCATAGAGTTAGCTACAGTGATCCGGGCAGAATGTTAAAAACATTTCATCCGCGAACCAAACCCATTTTTCCACCATTTTTTAGCAACCTTGAGAGCTTTTGGACGGGAATTGAAGGGGTTTTGACGGGAAGTAATTGGAGGTAAGTCCTAC